GACAAATTGAAATAACCAAATGTGATTGTGAGAAACCTTGTTTCCTAGAAAGAAGACGATATGTTAATGTTTGGAAGCGGGGTTTCAATAGGTACTTAGGTTTTCAGGACGTTTTTTTTTTTCCTCTGGAAACTTCAATAGACCCATAGCTGACGTGTTGAAAGAAATGTATAAGACTGTAAAGTGAATTTCAGTTCACTTCCTTAAAATTATAGGTAATGTTAGAAGCTTCTTTTTGGCAAAAGACTCGCTGAATTTCATCATTTCCTCTGAAATACTAGCTTCTTGGAAGTACATTGGCCAATTGTCTCTTTGTCTCTTAAACTTTTCCTTTAAACTTCATCTTTTGTCCTATTTCTCCTTGCTTTCTTTACAACCAAATTCTTCCTGTGCATTGCTTCTATATTTTTTGCATGTGCTACACTTGTATTTTCTGCAGCTTTAAAATGCTGTTATCTGCCTTTTGAAGCAGTTCAGTTTTAATACTACATTGTTTGTAGGAAAGTTTGAATGGCTGGGTGGAGTAGAAATCTTTGAATTCTTGATAGATAGCTGTGCTCAAAGGAGAGAGTTTTACTTTTTTTTTTTTTGGTGACTCGCAAGTGCTATTTTTTTGTTTAGCTGTATGGCTGCTTATCAGTATCATTAATTGCATATGTATGTGTGTATTACTTAAGGGGTGTAGTCTGAGGAGGAGTGGCTGTCATTATCTGCATTCACTGCACTGATCAGACTCTGGACAACAGGTAATGATCAGTGTTGTTTTCCCCCCTTACCCCACAAACAGCTGCATCGATTTCATGCGTCAGATATGTTGAGCTTGCTGTTACATAATAGATTCATGCCATAATCACTTCTTGATGAAGAAGGATGTACACATACATAGCTGTGTATTTTAAGCCTGTCTGCTGTCATATTGGCTGTTCTTTGAGGAGGGAAGCAATTAAATACGTCTATTAGTTATAAACTATGTGAATCTTTATTTTACTGATAGATATCCGTATTAAGTTATGTTTGATCACTTTAGGTACTGAGGTTATTTTACAGGCTTATAAGAAATAATCTGATGAAGAAACTCCCACAGCAGGGAGTTTTGTTTGTAAAAGAGAAGCTGGACTTGATATGAATAAAACATGAAAATCTGAATAAAATCCAATATAAAAACAGTCTTGCTACGATGCTGTTGAATTGCCAGTGCAAATCTGTATGTGTAAAGAGCAGTTATATTTGTTCCATATCGTTAGTAGTGTAACAGGTTTAATAATCAGAATTTTTTGATGGGATTGTAGTTTTTCAACTGGAGATCTTTCTCAGATGCCTTGTTGGGGCAGTATGGAAAAGACTATACTAAGTTTCTGTGCTTTAACTAGTCTTGCTATGGTTGGTGTTGAAACAGAAGGTTATTATAGAAGGTTATATACCTTTCTTAAAACTTCCCCATTACAGGAAAAACCCCTGCTACTTACTATTAATAATGTATCTGTTGTGTTTTTTATTAGATTGAGGACTTATGTTTAAATCGTCAAGGTTTCTGTCCAGAAACTTTCACATGTGTTTCTCTCTCTCTCAGTCTTGCCTTCAATATTCCCTTGTACCACAGAACTAGAAGCATAGGTGGCCTTTTAAAAGCGCTAGTGTCAGAGGCAGATTGGAGAACACACAAATGGCAAAGTCCATGATTTTCTGCTATTGTTTTGAGGTAAATCCCTATTCCAACATCATCAACCAAAAAAATCCCACCCAAACTTGTGGCAATATATAGATGTCTTTCTGAGTCAATTCTTCTGGAGAAATTAAATTCCAGAGAGTCTCTGGAGACTTCGTATGTATCTTTGATGGATTTTGTAATTATCTCATCAGGTGACTAAAGACAGTAAGCCCACTTGATTTCTCATTGTGTTGATCTTGGTTCACTTGAATTTAATCTAAACCCCCAAAACCACAGGGAACAACAGAGAGGAAACATAGCACTTAAATCTTTTTGAAACACTGATTTGAAACATTTTGTTCAGAAACCAAAGAATTTTTAAAAAGTGAATAAACACAGTAAGTACAGCATTGCTTACATGGAAAAACTGTGCATTGTCATTCAGTGTAAATAAATAAAATGTAATGCTCTGATTTTTAATTTTTTTTTTCCCAAGCATTAAGCTTACTGATAATCACAGTATAAATCATAGCGTATACTGAAACATTAGCAGAAGCAGCTGAATGAATAATGCTCAATTGTCCAGACACAGCAGAATTATTTTTTTAAAATCAGCTACGTATTTTCTTATTCAACGCTATTAAGATAAACATACTGTGATATACTGCAAGATCATAAATGTATAGGAAACAAGTTCATTCAGTAAAGTTAAATAAGTCTTTATTTCCTGTGGATTTGTGTCACAAGTCTTCTCTTCAGTAAACCCCCTGCATTCCTCAGCTGCAATACTGCCAGCTTGTACTTTCATTCCCTGTAGCTCTGTTCAGAAATCCCTCTTCCCTCATCCTCCAGGTCTCTGTTCCTTCGTGCTTGCTGGCTGCGGTCCGGGCAGGATGCAGTACCTGATACTGCTAATTCTGTGCAGGCAGACGAGGGAATACTTAACCACTGAGCTTTCCCTGCAATCTCTCCCTGAGGGAGAGCTGTTTGGATGTTTGTTCTACCAGTTCCCAGTTTCTATGAAAGCTGTTTAACTTGATATCCCTCAGACCTCTATCAAATTTGTTGTGTGTGTGATTTTTTTTTTTTTTTTTTTTAAAGAAAAAGTAAAGGGCAATCCCTAAGGGATAAGGTGGTGCAGGTGGACATAGAAGTTAATTTTCCTTAGAAAATCAGGGTAATGCATCTGAGGAGCGAGGAGGAACTGTAAGGGGAAGTTCTTATGCCTTTGTTGCGGTTGGGGTGTGTGTGTCTGTGTGTTTGTTGTTTTGTTTTTTAAGGCTACGTTTATTTATGGTTTTTTTTTAATTGCTTCTTTCTTTTTATATTTTTCTATAATTTGTATTAAACTAGTTTACTGGAGATCGTTCTCTCTTGCTTTTTAGTGGATAATCAGTGAGGGAGTTCGTTATTTAATCTAGATACATGTCCTAACTGAAAAAGTACTTTGGTATCAACCCTTGATCCTTCTCCTGACTTTAGTTCATCCAAAATGCTTGCCTGGAACTCTTGTAGCAATTTTATTTTTAATTTGTAGCCCATGATAAGTCACTATAGCAACACGCCAAAAATATGTAAGAATGACTAGAAAAACCTAGCTCTTGCCTAACTGCTGCTAGGTATACAGTTGAGGAATTAACAAATGACAAAATTCTTACTGTTGTTTGGGATAACTTGGTGCCAATTTAATTGACTTTAATTGGCCTTTCAGAATACTTTCGGGAATTTTGAGTTGTTCTGTGATGACATGCATTATACTTAAGAATTACTCAGAATTACTTCCTCATACTTACTCTTCCGACCTGGTTCATCAGTTCAGTTTAAGCTGTCAATAGCTGAACTATTATATTATTTTATATGTGTATTTTTAAGTCCTTACTGCAAACGAGGGGTTGCTTAGTCTAACAGTAGAACTATTCTTTCTGTGAGGCATTTAATTCATGCAGATTTGTGACCTTATGGTAGTCTGGATATTGACGTTTTCTTCCCTGAAAGTAGAATGATACCCTTGCTTCTTTTGTAGTCCAATATTGTCAAATATTGTTAAATATTAATGATTCTATCTGAGCAGATTTTTTTGCTGATTGTGTGAAATACTGCTTTTTGTGAACTGGTTAATGTTTGCTGGTCTACAGTTGTATTCTAGTAGATTAGGACCAGTGGGTGGCATTTATATCACAAGACAGTAAAAAATGGGCATTCAAAAAGAATGTAGCACATTCTGACTTCAAATTCCTTCTTTCCATAAATTTCTGGAGCTTTTCATGCGTTTAATCAGTAATTGACTCCTAGTATCTCCCGGGTGATTTTTTTCAATTGTCAATATTAGTTAATTTAAGAGCTGATTCAACGTTTAAAATATCTCTGCTTCTAGTGGACCTTTACCCTATTCCATTTTTCTGTTCCTTTTGTACATATTTGTCCAGGCCAGCATCCTTTCTTTTTCCTTGGCTGAACCATTGCCACATTACTCTATGATTTTCTCTGAAAGTTGACTGCTTAACTGACTAAATAAAACACATGAGGAGTCTGATGCATTTGCACACAAAATTGTTATATACAAAACAGATTTAATACGCAGAATTGCTTAGATGATTTTTTTTTTTTCCCCTGAAGTCGGGAAGTGTAAGGATTCAAGTAGCTGACACCATGCATTTACACTTACTTTTTCTTATGTTCCTTTCATCTCATTTTATTACAGTTATTCATTAAGAGGAGTATAAATTTATCCGATGTTTTGTAGGGGCACTTGACATGTCTGTAGGGTTATAATTTGATTGATTTTTTTCAGGTCAATAAACGGGAACGTTACTATGCTGTAGAGGCATTAATACTGAGCTGGCCCTATCTCAGTGTAACTAGACTATTAATCTTCCCAAAAAGCCGAGATTCTTGCACTAAAACAATACTGTTCAGCAATAATATTAAAAACAGAGTTATTGCATGATGAAGGAGCAGTGAAGGGAAGTTACTGGCTTGTGACCTGTCCATTAGTATCTATATTATGCATTGGAATGTGATGCCAATATCTCTGAGCTAGCTTTGATCCTAAGTGGTGAAACCATGTAAACTGGTTTAAAAACAAAACAAAACAAAACAACTGAAAACAACATGCAAACTGGTAAAACCATTGTTGTGGATATCTGAGTAAAGATCCACAGGTAGGATAATCCAGTTTTGGTGCCCTCTGGTTAGAAGTGTGTCTAAGGATTATAGTGTAACATTATCTGATCTAAGCCAGGTACATTTATGCTGGATTCAGCTGTAGCAATACAATCTCAAGTTTATTTATTTATGTTAATAGAACTTTAACACTGTGCTTGACTGAGAGAGTTTTCTTTTTTTCTTTCAGCTGATGCAGCCCAGCAGTTTCAGTATGCAGTGAGAGTTATTGGAAGCAACTTTGCTCCCACCGTTGAACGGGATGAATTTCTTGTGGCAGAGAAAATCAAGAAAGAACGTAAGTGCATCTTTGGGTTTTTTCTTAGAAATAGGAATGGAAGTTCTTCAGGAAGTTTATCTGATCTGTTTGTTCCTCTGAAAATGGGACAACTCTGTCTCACAGATGGTTATCTAATTTGTTATTAATGCTCACCCCCTGAAAATCTCATGATGGAAATTCCATTAATTCCCCAGTTAGTATGCTCTGAGTGGCTATTTGTATACACAGCTCAGATTTTTCTGAATGCTCAGCTTAGACTTCTCTTGCTGGCATTTACTTCATGTCTTAGCCACTATGAAAATAAAGAACAGTCAATATTGCACTCCTTTCACTTTAATAATACTCAGACTTTATGAATTCATGGTTCTTTTTAGAAGACTGATATTTTTGTGATGTGCACTTCAGAAATGTTACACTTTGGCATAGTTAACTTCATGAGCATGTGTGTGAAACTTGCCGAATGAGCATCCTGGGAACTGATGGAATTGTTTATGTGACTTACCTGATATTTCTTGCCTTCAGTTTCTCTACAAGTTTATCTGCAACCACCTTCTCAAAACCAAAACATTAGGCTGTGACAGCGTAAGTTATGTTGCAGTTACGTTCCATTGTGCTCTGTGTTGCTCTGAGTCAAGTGTTGCACTGTGTGAATCCAATGGGGATGTGATGCATTCTTCTTGAAAAGCCAAATACTGCTTTCAGCAGATTATGTGCTCTACAGTAGACTGTCCAGAAACAATTTCTTGAAGTATGCTAATTAAATTAAAGCTTCATATTTGAGCTTTGAATATTCAGTCAGGGAGATTGAATTAGGGTGACTGAAGTCAGTAGTTGTAACTGTTTTAAAGTACGTGTGTATTTCTTGCTGACGCAGAGCTTTCATGAGTTGCTGGTAGGCAGATAAGCCCATCAGAATTTCTCTGATGCAACTCCAAAACACTGTATTCTAGAGTATAGACTTTCTGCGTGAGTTTCTATGTGCTTTGGCTAGTAGTAGCCAGTACAGCATATATTCTTTGGGCCTATTGCCAGGAGTTTTGAAGAGGGCTATCTCCCTCATCTTCCTTCTCCCCAACTTCAGCTTGTAGGCTGATGTTAGTGGTCATGTAACAAGTAACTGGATATATCCTTCTAACTTTACATTTATTTTGGAGTTACCGTGCAGGAAGTCACTTATTTGGCAAAATGTACTTAGCAGTGGCTTTTGATGCTAATTAACATTTCTAACATTTAACAGCGATTTTTTATTATTAAGGTTTCTTCAGATGTTTTTGGTTTATCTTTTTTTTTTTTTAAAAAACATGGCTCTTTCTGATGTAGCATGGCTTTTCTGAAGACATCTTAAAGCTTGAAGATGTTTTTCCTCTGAGCAAAGACTTCTGTTATGTAACTGGCAGTGATTGAGACTGTTGTTTTTCTTAATATATAAAAGTTGTGTGACTGTGGAATTCTGCTTGACTTTGATCAAGTGGCATTACTACTTTTGTTTCTTGCTTTTATTGCCTAAAATAGGAACAATTACACTTAGTTTTGTGAGGGGCTTTATAGCATTCTTTAACCCATATCTGCTTTCAATTATGTTTTAATTTCCTAAACCTACAGAATGGCAGACTAGACTTTAAAAGGGCACTTATTTTATTGCTCTAAGAAAAAACAGGTACTTACATTGCATCACTTCTGATGCAAGAATTTTCAGGGCTCTAATGCAGATAACATGAAAACAGAGAAAGCTGTATGAGTAAATAGAGTGAAACAGTTAAGCATCATTATGCTTTCTGATCTACCACAAATACCTAATTTCAGACATGAATATTATACTTCTTTCAATTTTTTAATCTATATTGCTTTTTTTTAATAGTTGTGCGACAAAGAAGGGAAGCAGATGCTGCTTTGTTTTCAGAACTCTACAGAAAACTCAGTTCACAGGTAGTGTAATAAATGTATAAAGAGTAAAGAAACTGGAAGCACACATATGCATCTTTCTGACATCATAGAGTTGTTTTGGAGAGTGCTTGGGTCATTAACAGTATTTTTCCTGAGAGGATGGTTGAATACTGGAACAGGTTGCCCCGGAAAGTTGTGGAGTTATAAAATAAGATTCCCAGTTGTCATTTGCACGTACCTGATTTTTGACAACAAAAATCAGTTAATGTAAAAGATGATGTTTTCTATATAACAGAAGATTTGTCCTTATTTTGCTCTTTGTGTTTAGGAGAAATGTTTTTCTCTGTTCTTCTGCTTTTTATTCATGAATTTATGTATAGATCATGGCTGAGTTCTACAGGATAATACTAAGATTTTAAGATGACAAAAAAGTGATTCTGTGGAGAGTATGACTACTCAGAACTCAGTTCTGCCCCTCCCCTCATCCATACTTACTCACGAGTTTGTTAGTGCTTGGAGCTTAAGTTACTCTGTAACTCTTCCTGTTTTCCTTACCCTGTGGGTTTGTGTATTGTTTGCATTGGTCTGTACAGTGAAGCAAGTGTCGCTGGTTTGCACACAGCTGTTCCGATGACTTCAGTCATTGGTTTCAGCCTCTTCTTGCATGTATTACACTATGTGATCTGGCTCTTTTAATACAGGTTTTCTGTAACGTGCTTCTGTAGCTTATGTACTATGTTGCCATATCATTGCATTTGGCAAGCAACATAGCTGCAGAGCATGATGGCTGTAAACTTTGAAACAGAATGCCTTGTCGGTGTTCATATCAGTGTGGAGATTCTTTCGAATGTAATACAAGCTTACATCAGCTATGTCCTCATGTTTTGCTGCCTGCTCAAATGTTTGAGATTCTTCTAACCTGTCTTTTTTTTTTTTTCTGTGCTAGCATCTTGTGTACATGAAATGGTATCATCTGAATACTGCCTTCTTTAAAATTCACTCTACCAATTATTATTCAATCTGCTGTTAGGTTTATTACTAATGGTGGACAATCATTTGTTTTCCCCATGAGCTTAGGGAAGGGCACAGAAGGAATATGCGTTTTCTGAATCAATGAGGCTTTTTCTTCCTCCAGCAATTCTCTTGAAAGCAACTAGGAGAAAGAAAAAAGCTTGTGTGAATCTGTTTTAACTTCATTTCACCCATTACTCTAAAGAGAAAAGCAGGTCAGTGCTTATTTTAGTGGCAGCTTGCCAGTTGAGCAAACCATGCTTCTTGAGGCACTTAGACTTATTCTGTTCTGGTCAGTAGAAGAAGCAGTAATGTTGCTACTCCTTCTTCACCAGTTGTTAATGAGTTGCTGGATTAATTATTTGCAATACCTCTACTTTTTGCTTGTTGAGATCAAAGCAGAAGATAATAGACTTCTTTACATAATAATATAGAATGTCTCCTTCGACTCTTACATAACTATATAGAGCTTCAGTAGGTTTGGTTAGTGGGCTCTGTCCTGAAGAAATAACTGTTCTATGGCTAAACATCTTATACTATGTAACATGCACACAAAATGCATAATTTGCAGAGAAACAGGAAAAATTAAAAAAGGTGAGAATGAAAATGTGTTTAAAAAAGAGAATTTCAAAGTGACCTTGAAAGTGCTTTTTGCAAGACTGATAGCACTGAATTACATTGCTTCATAAGGGATGGAGTCTTTGTTGAATCTTGGTATGACTAAAGTTTCCTTTATATTCAACATTGCTTAGTATTCCAGACCATAGCCTGATCAATATTGTGAGGGAACTTGCATGAGTTTCTTTGACTTACTGCACTACTTAATGTCCATTATAATGTTCTATGTCTCTGATCAATTCAGGTGCAAGCGTTAGTGTCACAAAACTACGGAGTAACATATCTAGAAACATGTGTATCTAAAAGAAAACATTTTAATATTTCCATAAATCTTCTCTTCAAAGCGTTCTTTTTGTAGGTTGGGCTTTAGCATTGTTCTGTCTTCTGCTGAAATCCAAAGCTTCTGAGAGTGTTATTCTAACAGTCTATATGTATCTGTCTATTTGTCTGTTTGCTAGAGACTATATTGCATATTCCTCAAGTTTCATGTTAACAATGTCTCTATCTTAAGCTGTGAAAATTTTGGTAGCTTTCTTAAATGGCATTTAAAGTAATAGAAATTGAAGCATCAAACTTTTGAAGCCTCCCTGTAAAGGAGAGTGAAGGGGAAAGTGGAGAAAAGACAGTTCTTTACTTAAAATTGTGCCAAGAGTTTTTCTTCTTCACCTTTGGGTTAGAGTAGCATCTGCATCTGAGATGTCTTAAATGGTGAGAGTGTGTGGGAATGCTGGTAAAAGTTCAACTCTGTATAAACCTCTTTCTTAGTAGCTATGAATTTTAAATTGAGTGTATTTGCTGATCTCAGAGCAGCTGAGAGTTCATGATTTGAACACAGTGGAGAAAATTCATAAAATTAGCAATACAGAGGCTCTAGTGCACATTCCCAGTTTACTCAAGAACATGGCTCTGAGTTGGTCTTATTTGTGTGGAAGATTGATTTGTATGTGTACATGTTAGTAGGCTGGATAATTTAAAAAAAAATCCATTGTTATCAAGAGGTAAACTCATTTCTGTTCGTTTTCATCTTTTTTTAAAGGGCATTTTGAAAAACAAATGGTCAATACTCTACCTCCTGCTTAGCCTTAGTGAAGATCCACGTAAGCAGTCTAACAAGGTAAGTAAGGAGACCTTTGTTACTTCTGAGAAACAATAAATGTGTGTCACTTAGATGTCATTAAGAATCACTATCCAGACTTATCCAACACCTCAGGTTGTGTTTGTGGTGTTTGTGTGCGAGGCTGAAAGGAAGAACATGCTTGACACAAGTATCTGCAATTTTTTTCTGTCTAATTTTTTTATACTAAGTAAATGTAAAAACATGAGCTGTCCAACATTTGTAGCTGAAGTTGTGACTTTATTAAATGGGCGATTTTTTTGTTTGCTTTCTGCTTGGCGGTGTAATGTCTGCTCACGTGCTAGTGAGTTTGAAATGGAGTAGGGAGAGCAAAATTTCTCCTTTGGTTGCAGCTCTGCTAGCACCGAAGTGCTTTTTGCAGCTATTGCTAGTGATAATTCGCAGGCAAAAATATATTGCTAAAAGTACTTTTGCTCACTGTGAGGGACTTGCTTTTTTGTCATTATAATTCTAACAATAAATTTTTCTTTGCATAAACATGGCCTTCAGTTATTTTTTGCGTCCTTGAATATTACACTCCTGTTAACTAAAGACATGACTTAAAGCAACTCACAAATCTTTTCTTTTTACTCCTCCCTTTTCAAATCCTCCCCTTTTTAGGTATCAAGTTATGCCACACTTTTTGCTCAAGCATTGCCACGGGATGCTCACTCAACCCCTTATTACTATGCCAGGCCTCAAAGCCTTCCGTTGAATTACCAAGACCGCAGTGCTCAGTCTGCCCAGAGTTCTGGCAGCATGGGGAGCAGTGGAATCAGCAGCATCAGCCTGTATGCCCTGAATGGGCCAACGCCAACTCCGCAATCACTCCTTCCAGGGTAAATTAAACTGTTTTACCTTATAAATAGGTTGGGGGAAGATTAGAGATGATCTGCTCTTTCTTTCTTTCTTTCTTTCTTTCTTTTTTCTTTTTTTTTTCCTTACCCTCCCCGTTTGTATGCCATTGGAAATGCCTCTGTCGGTGTGTAGAAACTGAGTTCCTTAGCTGAACAGTTTGAATATCAAGTGCTGTCATAGGACGGTATGAAGCCATAAATGGCTGGCCAAGTGTATTCATTCTTAAACTTAATCTTAGTTATCTGCTGACCAGCTGATACTTCACTGGGTCCAATCCTTTGGATTCTAGTGCCAAGTCCTTTTCCAAATTTCTCAGTTCTCTGAAACCCTTTAAAATAGTCTTTGTCTTTCTTCTGTAAACACCTTGGATTTAGAGTCCTCACTCAAGTTCCTTTTACTAAGCATTCCTCAGCCAGTGTCAGATTAGTAGACTTAACATCCTCCATTTTCAAGTGGGTGACCTTTCTTGCATGGTCTGACTTTCTTTTAAGCATGTTCACAGCAGGTTGGCAGTTGTCCTAGAGCAGTCTTGCATCTTGAGTGGACAGGAGGTTTTTTTTGGGGGGAAAAAAAAAAAAATTATACAACAGTTGATTAAAAAAAATTACCTATTAGAAAAAGAATCCTAGAACACCTACTGTTCAGCAGTGGTTTAATTGTCTGTTTGTACCAAGGTGAATCTACATTTGGAACTGAAACATTCAAATACCACATAGTTCAGATTTTTGATGAGTAAAAGCTGGCCATTGTAAGCCATAAGATGATTACCTGATTATTGACTTTGTTAAATAAGCCAACACAGACAGTTACATGCTCAAAATCTGAGCCATTCTTGTGCCATTGGATATCATGTTGTATTACCCCTGCCGTTCTACAAAGCCTGACAGAGACGCCCTGCACAGAGTCTATGTTCTATAGAGGGAGAATGAACCACTCCCTCTCACAGACTATGAACACGTTCAACGGCCATTCTGTAATATATACCTGGAAATACATTGCTTCATAGAAGTTGAGCGTGGAAAAGTGAACAGAATGTTAAGAAACTTGGAAAAGTGAGGACTGTACTTATTTGCATAGCCGTTTCAGCCTTTAACGAAAAAGCCTGGAAATGAAGCCTTCGTCCAAAAGCAATGGGGACATCACTTTTCAAGAAACTGTGGTTAATGTCAGAAAGACTCAAGAGAATATAATAAAAGGAAGAAAAATAATCTTAAGGCATGCAGAAATGATCGAAGCCCTGTTGTTTTGTCCTAACAGGAGCTTCGTGGGTTACGATTTGACCAAATTCCTAATATAAGGCTAATTTATGGAAATTTTTATTAATTTCTTTCCTTTCTCATAATTGGAAAAGAGAAAGACACCATATTCTTGTCTCTTAATTCTTCTCCCCACCCCCAACAGTCACGAAACAAACACAAAATCGGAATAGATGCATTTTCAGGAAGTACCACAGCTTTATTTTGAGTTGAAGTTTTTTTTTTTTAATACAGTGTATTTGAGATGATTTATAGAACTCATATTATGGAACTAATAACCAGTGCTGACACAACTGGATTTTATTGTTATTAATGTGCTTTACAATACAAATACTTTCTTGACTGTCAGTACTAGGTTTGTATGGTGTATCTTGGATGCACAAGTAGAGGATATCTTTAAAGCTAGGAACACTGTGGTAGGACTATGCCCAACAACTGAGTGAGGAGGTGGTAGACCAGGTTAGTAAGCAAAAGATGCAGGGTGATGTGGTCAAGAGAGACCTTGAAACCAACAGAGCAGGGCAGAAGGGGGTCCACCCAAGTGTGTGCACACAGATGAAGAACGCGGAGACGACAGCCTTATAAGGGAAGCTCTCACACCTTTTCTGGGACATCAGCATAACTTTGTTGGAGTGCCTACACGCTAACACATGCAGCATGGGGAACAGACAGGAGGACTTAAGAGGTCTGTGTGCAGTATTAGGGCTATGATCTCATTGGGATCACAAAAACATGGTGGGATAGTTTGTACCACTGCTGTGTTGTAGAGGGTGGATACAGGCTCTTCGGAAAGGACAGGTTAGGATGGCAAGGCGAGGAAATTGCTGTTTACATGAGAAAGCAGCAAGAATGTATGGAGCTTTGCCTAGGGACAGATGAGGTGCCAGATAAGACTTCATGGGTTAGGATTAAAGGGCAGACCAACATGGGTGATGCTGTAGTGGGCATCTGCTGTAGACTGCCTTATCAGGAAGAGGTAGGTGAGGTCTTTAGACAACTGGAAGAAGCCTTACATTTGCAGGCCCTTGTGTTCATGGGGGGATTTAATCACCACAATATCTGCTGGAGGGGGAGTGCTGCAGGGCGCAAGCAATCTGGAAGGTTTCTGAAGTGCACTGATGGTAACTTTCTGACACAGGTGATTGAGGAGATGATGAGGAGAGGTGCTTTGCTGGACTTGACTTTTTTACAGACAAGGAAGAACTGGTTGGGAAGGCAAAGGTTGGGGCCAGCCCTGGCTGCAGTGATCATGAGATGGTGCAGTTCAGGATTCTGAAAGGAAGAAGCAGAGCAAAAAGCAGGATCCCATCCCTGGACTTCAGCAGAGACTTGGGCTTTTCTGGGATCTGCTTGGAAGAATCCCATGAGAGACTCCCCTGGAGAAAAGAGGGGTACAGGAGAGAATAGAGTAGTTCAGTTTGAAGGGACCTACAACGATCATCTGGTCCAACTGCCTGACCTGAGAGCTGGTTGATATTCAAGGATCATCTCCTTCAAGCTCAAGAATGGTCCACCCTGACAAGCAGGAAGATGCCCTGCCTGCAAAGGTGGCAGGAGGCCTGCATGGATGAACAAGTAGCTCCTGACAAAACTCGGACATAAAAAAGTGCACAAAAGACGGAAGTAGGGGAAGGTTCAGACGGGCATCCAGGGTGCAGGGGAAGCCCAAACTCCCCTGGAGTTGAATCTGTGAAGGGACATGAAGGGCAACAAGAAAGAATTCTACAAGTACACGAGCAGTAAAGGAAGGCTAGGGAAAACATAGGCCTGCTGCTCAAGGGGCAGGGGCTGTGGTGACAGACGATGTGGAAAAGGCCAAGGTACTTGGTACTTTCTTTGCCTTGGTCTGTGCTGGAAAGACCAGTCCAGGACGCTGAGACCCTTGGGAAAATATTCATTGCTCCCAATTTACCCCTGGCAGAGGATGATCAGGGCCCATGGGACCTGATGGGGTGCATCCACAAGTGCTGAGGAAGCTGGCCACTGTCATTGTGAGGCCATTCTTGGTAACCTTTGAAGTCGTGGCAATTGGAGGAGGTTCCTGAGGACTGGAAGAACTCAAATGTTGCTACTTTGTTCAAGGAGAAGGATCCAGGGAAATACAGGCTGGTTAGCCTCACCTCAACACCTGGCAAGGTAATGGAGGAGCATCTAATCATGGAAAGCATTTGCAGACACATGAAAGACAAGAAGGGGGCTAAGAGTAGTCAGTCCAGACTTAAGAAAGGGAAGACATGCTTGACCTATCTTACAGCTTTCTATCATGAGATGACTGACTTGGTGGACAAGGGGAAACTGGTGAATGTTGTTTATTTCAACTTTAGTAAGATTTTTTGACGCTGTCTACCTGTAACATCCTTATTGACAAACTTAATAAAATATGGACTAGATAAGGTGACAGTGATGTGGACTGAAAACTGACCAACCTGCTAGGCTCAAAGGATTATGATCAGTGACACAAAGCCCAGTTAGAGCCCGGTCACTGTTGGTATAGCCCAGGAGCTGGATCCTATACACCTTCATCCCACCTTATGAGACAGGGTGCACCCTCAGCAGTTTTGCAGATGATAAAAAACTGGGAGGAGTGGTTGATAAAGCAGGTGATTCAGCTGCCAGTCAGGAGGACCTCACTAGGCTCCAGAAACATGCTGACAGGAACCTCCTGAAGTTCAAGAAAGCCCTGGACCTGGGGAGGAATAGCCCTATGCACCAGTACATACTGGGGGCTGACTGGCTGCAAAACAGCTTTTCAGAAAGGGCCCTGGGGTTCCTGGTAGACACCAAGTTGAACATGAGTGTGCAATGTGTGGTAAAGAAGGCCAACAAAGGCCCGGAGTGTCGGTGGGCACCCGATGTGAACCCGGAGCCAGCAATGGGCCCTTTTGACAAAGAAGGCCACCAGCCTCCTGGGCTGCATTAGGAAGAGCATCACCAGGAGGTTGAGGGAGGTAAACCTTCCTCTCTGCCCAGTACTGGTGAGGATGCATCTGAAATGCTGGGTCCAGTTACAGTACAAAAAAAGACTGAAGAGAGTCTGGAGAAGAAACCACAAACTAATTAAGGGGTTGGAGCATCTGACATATGAGGGGAGGCTGAGAGAGCTGGGACTGTTCAGCCTGGAGAAGAAAAGGCTCAGGGGATCTTACCCATGGGATTGTACCTAACCAGGGGAGTAGAGAAGACTGAGCCAGACTTTTCTCAGTAGTGCCCAGGGAAAGGACAAGACGTAATTGGCAAAACTTGTAAGACTGGGAATCCCAGTTAAACATAAGGGAAAAAACTTCTTTTACAGTGAGGTGAGGTGTGTGTTTGGGGGCAGGGGGGATGTTGTGAAACATTGGAAGGGGTTGCACAGAGAGGTTGTGTAGTCTCCATGCTTGAAAATATTCAAAACATGACTGGACAATGCACCAGGCAACCTTCTCTAGTTGAGCCTGCTTTGAGCAGGAGAGCTGGAGGAGGTGATCTCCAGAGGTCCCTTCCAACCTTAGCCATTATATAATCCTGATACAGGATAGAAAGGTATGTCAGTGAGGTTATTTTGTATATCTGCTTGCTTAAAAATATCAGCAGAACCTACCCTGTTCCTGTCATATTCTTGGTCTGACCTGTTCAGACTGTTCAATTTCATAGCAATTTCACTGCTCTCTCTAGTCCTGTAATCTGTGAGCTGGGCAACCCAAATTAGATCTTCCAGTGAGTTTCATTCCTCCTGAACTTCTGTTTATACGTGTTTCCCTTTCTTTCTAGAGTACATTCTTCTTGAAGTGTAACAGCCTAAATTCAGTGTTTCACTCTAGTTGAGGTGTTACAAATGCTAAGCACAACAGAGTTGCTCTGTCTTGCGGGCTGTGTTCTTGTTCACTAGCTACAATCATATAAGTACGTGTGTGACATCCCATGAGTTATGATGTGGTGGTTGAGAGAGGAAGTGCATTCCTCAGCTTTTTTTACATGGACATTTGTGTTGCATCTCTCCCTGCAACTGTGCTTTCACAGCTTTGTGGAATTCTTTTTTTTTTTTTTTTTTTTTTTTTTTTTTTTTTTTAAATATGTGTATACTTCCAAATGTTTACATTCAGTTGCGGGACCGGGGAGGAATGGTCAACAGCAAAAATCCTTTGCAAATATTTTCAACTTTATTTTTCATCATCATGATACAGAAATAATCAGAAAGCTAACTTCTAGTCTTAACATTTTTCACGTTTAAGACTATTTTTGTGAGAAGATTTGACAAGTTTGAGAGGGAGGGAAATTGGAGCTTGTCTAGATGCTCCCTCCTTGTTCACATCTTCAGGCAGTTGATACAAACTATCCTAAATGGTAGAGTAGCAGGAAAGTGAACTTTCTCTTTCTCTACTTTCCTTTAGTTCTTTGGCATGTAACTACAGTTTCAAGTAATAACAAAACTTAAATATTTGTTGTTTGTTATGACTGTTGTTTATTATTGTTATAGTTAACTTCACTTTTAATCCATTTCAGCATATCTACACAGTTCAGTGTGAGCAAAGTCTATCTTTGATATGAAATCGTATTTGTCAAATTCGTACCTCCTTTCTTTTCTACAGTTTTTTTTTTTAAAGTGTAAGTTTATAGGGAGCAATAAATTACTTGTATATTCTGCACCCTTTTTTAAGGTTCCTTTATTAAAAAAAGAACACAAACAAAACATCCACAAGAAACAAACTCAAGCTTGGAGCATTTTTCAAAATTTGCATACCCCAAACCAGCTGGTGGGTATAGAATCAAAGTTTTTAAAGATGTTTCTTCCTTTTGTCCTTCTAGACAATCCTATCAAGCCCCAGGCGTTGGAGATTGCCTCCGTCAACAATTAGGGTCACGTCTCGCATGGACTCTAACTGCAAGCCAGCCTTCTTTACAAAGCACTACCTCAAAAGGCTTTTCAAATGCTGTCTCCCGTGGTGTGCCAAGGTCAAGACGAGAAGGGGATGCAAGTGGTGAGCAAAGATGCATTTGTTAAAGATAACTTTTTACAATTGTTATCTAAATCCTCCATTATTTTTTAATGGTTTTGAAATAGTTTTATAGCATGTTAAATTTTTTGAGGAGTGTTTTGCTAGAATGTATTCGATGGAATAATGGAAGCAAATACGGAAGACTAGTATATTTGGCCACAATCTCTTTGGCTGGTTGTTAATTTCTTTTTGCAATGATTGGTTTGATAATGTGTTCTGGTCTTCTTAAAAGACTGACTTCATTGCAGTGTTTGTCAGAATCAAGTGATTGTGGTTTGTGAGTAATGATCACGCTTTTGATGATCAGAAGATGCTACTGCTTTTAGAAAGGCGGAAAGAGAGCTCAATGAACAGAACTTGTCAAAATAGACTCAGCCATTTGTGATTCTGTCTTTTAAAACTTGGAAATATGTACTGGAATAGAGAGCTATTAAAACTACTTTTTTCTTTAAATTAGCACACTGTTTATGGTGGTTGTATTTAGAGCAATTGACATAAAATATTGTCAATAAAATAAAAAATAGATAAATATTACTAATTTATTTCCTTGATTAAGCGGCTTTAAACTTGAAACTGATGCCTAGAGGATCTATTCTGAATTTACACGAGTGTAACTAAGGAGAAATTGTTTAACAGATTACCTCTGTGGCAATTGTGTAAGTTTCAACCCGCTCTACTTTTACTGTAAAAATGGGAGACTTTTCTGAATAAGGGAGCTAATGGCAGATGTTGTCATCCTACAGTGCTGTTACTCTCTGGGAAAGAAAGATAAGAGATATGGTGGTTTTTTTGTTTTTAATAACTCCAATATAAAGAAGTGTGGGTAGTTAGAAGCTAAAATATAGTCTGTCTGCCAGTCCCTGCATCTTTATGAGTAACAGTGCACAAAGCAACAGCTTATAGACCAAACACAGTTGTACTGGTATATCTGAGGGCAGCATTTGCCATTTAGAATCTAATAAACAATACTGTTGATGTGCAAGAGAGCGTGTATATAT